CCCCGCCCCGCCCCTCCCCGCAGCCCACCGCGCTGCCGCGAGGGTGAGATGGAATGCCAAGCAAGCGAGGTAGGACGTGGTGGGGCGTGGCGTGACGGTGGGGAGGACACGGCGGCGCAAGAAACCAGGTCGGCCGCAGCGGCGGGATTTTCTTGAAAGGAAATCGTTTGCCTTTTGTTGGAGATCATCATAATCGCTGACGCTCGCTGGCTCTCGCTGACGCCAGCGTGCGCCAAACGGCAGACCTTCGCCGTCGTCTCCTGGTGTGTCTCGTGACTGCCGGGCCCCGTGACACCCGGCCTGCCGCGGAACAGAGGAAATAATGCTGCCACTCGACGGCACTCGGCTCGGCCTGGCGTGCAGGGTCGCGACAGTATCAGCAACAGCATGTGAGCGGCGACGAGGGCACTGCGCGGCGTCCCAGGGGCCAGGGGCGTTAGCGACCTGCCCTCCTTGCCCCAAGCGGGGGAAGCTCCCTTACGAAAGTGGCGGCTTTCGACCCTGGCCGGGGCCCGGGGCTGTAGTGCAGCAAAAGGGGAGCCTCCGCCGTCTTGCAGGCAATGTGGGGTGGTGGTCAGCAGGGTCTGACATAAACGGCCGTGCCCTGTGCCCTGTGTTTCGGACGCGGCCGGCGGAAAATCACGTGTTTACTCCATCTTAGTACTCCGCGCTATCTCGGAGCTCGGTCGTGTACTCTTCGGCTACGACCTGCTCCTGACGGTCCCGGACGAGCTCAGTTCCAGCAGCGGCGGCGGCGGCGGAGTCGGCGCCGTCGGAGCCCCCGCAGGCGCCACCAGGCCCCGGCCTTGGGCTTCCTCAGGAAAGCAAATTGGTGATGAAAGTTTGATGCTGCCGGGCAACGCTGCAGTGACGGAGAAGTGTGGTGAAGCTGTGTGTGTTGTGTGTGTGTGGGTGCGTGTGTATGTGTGTGTGCGTATGTGTGTGTGTGTGTGTGTGAGAGAGAGAGAGAGAGAGAGAGAGAGAGAGAGAGACGACAGGGGAGGGATGGTGGTGTGGAAGGCATGCTGTTCGGAAAGGATGTGTGCTAGTAAATGTAATGCACGTGGGTTTTAGCCGAGCATCCAGCACGAACGAAAAAGAGAAAGGGAGAGAGAAGGGGAAGAAGGTATAGAGGGAGAGAGAGAGAGACGCGCCCGCGTTGTCTCGTATTTCCATGATACTCGCCCTAGCCTGGTTGGCCGGGCCGGGCCCCCCTGCTGCTCACGGAGAGCGCCTGTCGGGTCAGGGGTAGGCAACCCGCCCGCACCTCTGAGCGGAGTGCGGCCTCCCTCTCGGGCTGTTCGAGGGCCTGTTGCTGACCTGACCTTTTCTTTTGGCCCGCAGGCTCGGAGATGCGGCACGGCGTGCACAGCCCGCTCGGCTCCCCGCTGGGCGCCGCCCCCGGCCGGCAGTACACCCTGGACAGCCGCTACTCCACCGGCAGGCACCACCTGCACTACGCGAGGTGAGTACCCACCCGACCACGCTCGTCTGAAACGTGCCGACCGGTGCCCGAGGAGCAAGCCAAAAACAGCGGTTTTGCTGCACCGGCAAGTCAAAAATGTTTGGTATCTTCTGTTTTTTGCTGTTCCAGCAATTGTTTTTGCTTCAACAGCAGTTTTCTCACAG